TTTCATTTCATTTCTAGTTCAAAAGAATGTAAAAGACCAGCCTAAGTTCTGCATAGATGCAGTAGCTTAGGAGGAACATTTTTATTGCATAGCATAATGAATGGCAAAAGCTTGCTGAGGAATGGCCACAGCATTCAGAAGAAAGGAGGTTCTGAGTAGTGCAGCTGCTTTTGAGGATGGTGGTATAGGTTAAAATAGGTTCTGGGAGCAATTTGCAAGGCGTGTCAACCTGTCATTGTAAACAACCTCAGGATAGAGAAGATAGCCTAATTTGATTATAACTGCCAGTTCAGTACTTCTTCAGGAGGAATTATGTTTGTTGGTCATATTCATCTGACTTGGAACCATGATCTGAACATCAGTTTGCTGCTTCATGTCTTACGGCTGTGCTCCGAAAGATGCAGAAAGTTAAAAAGTGATACATGAGCTCGACAAAGTACAAGCAATAATTCAAGATACTTAATCACAGTGAAAGCATGGTCTTTACTGAATATTGAACGTTCACTTGAAGAATGCAAATTAAGACCGAGGGTTTGACAGAAGAAAAAGATTGTATTTGAGATGTATGTTATGGAAAGAGCTCTGATTTATGGTATGGTATAAAGGCATCTGTAAGGATTTCTATCTTAGTGTTCATGTTGCGCTCTAGCTGAAATTTGTCTTACTACAGAACTGTTCCATGTGTTAGATTAAAAATAAGTTACTTTATGGCAGTATGATTTAACTTTTGTGTGTGTGGTATTGTGTTCAGAATTGTACCCGAGTTGTATAGTTGCAAGTTCATTACGATTTTTTACAGTGCCTACTGTCAGTATTTAATGGGGCATGGTTATTTAAAGTAGTACCCAGAGGGACTTCAAGGTCTCTTTTTTGGCTAATAGCAGAGTTGAGAGCCTGTCATTTTGTACGTATGAGTAAAACTAATAATGTGGTATTACTTTGCATTTACTAACTTTGAACTCCTCATATCTTGTTGCCAAGCCACTTGATATTAGAAAAATCTTTGCCACTCTCAGTAGTTGGTGGGTTTTAACTGCATTTAATGATTTTTGGCTCTTCAGCAAACTTTATCCTTTCATTAGTATCCACGCTTGTTACGAACTCATTATCCCTGTGATTCCCCACTGATAACCTCTCTGTTGTGAAGACTGACTGGTTATTCCTCTCTAACTACTGTCTTTTGCTTGGGAGATGCAGGCGTACAAATCTTGTTAGAGAATGCTCTTTTTATAGTGAATTTTCTACTTTTTGTCTTGACTGAATTATATTTTATTTGTCATGTTTTACAGGAGAGGTACTTGCTTTGTAGTACCTATTGATCACAATTTAACCATGGTCATTTAATTTCTGTATACTCACTTCATTTTTAGTTCGGATTTTCCTTGTCATCTTAGACTTCTTTTTATCATGACTGTTAATATTTTTGATATATGTTGATTTTTAGAATGACTACTTGAAAAATGTAACCCTCCCCCTAGTTTCTTAAATTTTTGCCGTCACCTTTAGTTAGTTTGTTAATTTCTCTTTGTTAAGGAAGTTGATTTTAATGATAATTATAGTCATTGTTAGTGGCTGAAATATGCTTAAATAGCAGTTAAGGGCAAGTCAGGTACATTGTAATGTTTTCTTTGGTGAAATAAAGAGTCACTCTGATGGACTATAAGTGTCTTGCAGCCAAATAGACTGGTGAAATAATTGTAGTACCTGCTGGATAGTCCATAATCCAGTAGAAGATTCTCCACATCTTACTAGCATTCAGTGTATTTTTTGATGCAGATTCACTGAGATCTTTTAGATATACAGGTTGATTGTAACAGTACTGAAACATCTCATCACTTCAGACTCTACTTCAGTCTGTTTTAAATGTTACATATTAGTATATTAATTTACATTAATTTAATAGCATTAATTTAATAGCAAATACAGTATGAATTATTTTAGTCTGTTTTAACCATTCTATATTAGTTTATTATTTTACATTAGCAAGAATTTTACAATTAATGGTATTTGAGGGAACGGGGATCAGTCTACAAACTGAGCAACGAAACTAGTGAAGAGTTTAGAGAATTTGTCCTATGAGGAGCGACTGAGGGAGCTGGGACTGTTTAGTCTGGAGAAGAGGAGGCTCAGGGAGGACCTTGTCACTCTCTACAATTACCTGAAAGGAAGTTGTAGGGAGATGGGGGTCGGTTTCTTCTCCCATGTTATGAATTACAGGACGAGAGGGAATGGCCTCAAGTTAAGCCAGGGGAAATTTAGGTTAGATATCAGGAAAAATGTCTTTACAGAGAGGGTTGTGAAGTATTGGAACAGGCTGCCCAGGGAGGCAGTGGAGTCCCCATCCTGGAGGTGTTTAAAAACCGTGTGGATTTGGTGTTGAGGTACATGGTTTAGGGACCCTCACAGTGCAGGGTGAATGGTTGGACTCAATGATCTTGAAGGTCTCTTTCAACCAGATGATTCTATGATTCTATGATTCTGTATTGAAGCTGTGTATTCCAACTAAGGTATTACTAGTCTTTTCCATGTTTTAGGTCCCTCTGATTTCAAAAACAAATGGTGGGATTCATCTTGCCTAAATGAGGTATCTGAAAGTTGTATATATAAATATCATAGAATTGTTGAGGTTGGAAGGGATCTCTGGAGGCTGTCTCATGAAACCCTCCTGCACAAGCAGGGCCAACCAGAGCTGATTGTCCAGGTCTTTGTCCATATGGCTTTTGAATGTATCCAAGGATAGAGACTCCACAAATACGATTTCTTATCCTATATTTCCTGCATGTAAAGAAATGGAAAAAAGTAGACACTTCCAGAAGGTGCTTCATTCCGTCTTAGGATAAGCATCTAAGAGAGTGTAATTGAATGTCTTCTACAGGTGCCTGTTTTACGTTTGTATGTTTTCAACATAATCTCAGAGAGGCTCATCCAGGTGGAGAGTATCTGAAAAAACAACCACCTGGTTTGCTGGTGATGTGTGCACCAGTGAATGCTGTTTTCAGAAATAGAAACTCCACCTGAGTTTCTTGAAAAGTGTGGGTTTTTTCCCCCATTAAAAAAAAAAAAATTATAACAGAAATACTGTGCTAATAATTTTGACGGTTTTGTTGCCTGTCCTCAGTACATATTATGTGTTTACCAAATATGCAAATGAAAGATGTGCAGTTACAAGTTCTAAACTAAAATCTTAATCATAATTAGGATAATAGTTTTATTTGAATATAATTAAATGTCTCGGGAGAACTAAGGATGTAGTCAGTTTATATATTTAGTATATTAGAAGCTTTTATGTTAAGAAATCATAAATTGATTATTAGCAATTAATTGATAAAGAAAAAGTAATTTGTAATTGGATGAGAATTATGAATTAAGGTAGAAGCCAAAGGTAGTCCTTGCTTAGTTGTGTTAATTCTGTCTGAAGATTGAGTCTGAAAGAAGATTTTGAATATTTGGATGGGTTTAACCATCAAAAAAACCTTTGTATAGTATTGCAGCTTGCTTCTTGTTTAGTGTTTAATTTGAAGGAATTACCAATTGCTTTTAAATAGGCTATGAAAGTCTTCTATTAAAAGTGACTGTTGAAATTATGCACTTATAAGAGATAAATTATTTGAATATCTTTAATTTAAAACTTATTATTGCAATTTTAATTACCTAACTTTCTGAAACAAATAGAAAAGAGCATCTAAAAATTATTTGAGAATTAATTTATTCTGTCCTTTTGCCTTTCTGAATAAGGTAATATATTTGCAGTTATTGAATATTAACATTGGTGCTTTCATAATTCTTCAAGGTTACTAGGATAAAGCAGGATGCATAAGAGTCAGGCTTTGTTTCCTTCAAAATTGAAAGATGTTTCTGCCATTAAAAGGAGATTTTTTTTTTTTAACCAAGTTTCATATACAGTTCAGTAAGGTGTTTTGAGTTCATGTTTTTTAAATTGCGCAAATGATTGATTGAAATTGGTGAATTCCACTCCTTAAGATATGTTTGGTCTTGATTATATTAAGTTTGGCAAATTGTTGCTAATTTTTTTTTTTTTTTTCCCTGCTTCCAAAAATGTACCTGGTAGTTGTGCTGTTTAATTGAACTTCAGGACATTGAGTAGCATTTTGCAAGTATCTGGGTAGACAGGAGTCAGGTTGTGATTTCATCATTACTGCTGTTAAATCAATTTTCATCTGAGTGCTTGTTCCTCCCCCAGTGCTGTTTCTCCCTTGCACCGGCAGTAGGTTTCCTTGGCCACACCATGAACTGATCTGTGATATACTGAAGCTAAGTTTTCCATGTCTGCTTTGGTCCAGAGCAGATCGCTGATTCTTTTTCTGAGTGTGACTGCATGACTATTTGGGTAGTAGAAAGGAAAGGGATGTAAGGTCTTGCAAACACGCAAGTAAGGACAAATGTTGGCTTATATCGGGAGAAAACATAGCTAAGTTACTTTCAATGTCTTCTTATTTATGAGTAGGCAAATTTTTCTTCACAGAACTGTAGGAAAGCTTCAATTGCTTTTGAGCATTTCAGGTTCTGCAGCTTCTGGACTACATCTCTCTGGGCCAGATTGCCATTTCAATTACTTTATAGGAAGGAATATTTCAAATATGTTTTGATTTTATTTTATGAAAGCGTTGTATTCAGCACTGTGATAAAATTGAAGGTAATGTTTTATGGTATTTGTGCTATAGAATCATAGAATCATAGAATCATAGAATGGTTAGGGCTGGAAGGGACCTTCAAAGGTCATCTAGTCCAACCCCCCTGCAAGGAACAGGGATATCTCCAACTAGATCAGGTTGCTCAGGGCCTTGTCCAACCTGGCCTTGAACGTCTCCAGGGATGGAGCATCCGCCACCTCTCTGGGCAACCTGTTCCAGTGTTCTATATTTTGTATAAGCTATGTTTTGCATAGCATGATTGTTAATTTGCCATCTTACAGGTCATAGCTGTGAGTTTCTCTATCAAAATAACATCTCTCATAATGCAAAAAATATTCAGTGGTCACAATGAAGGTATGAAAGACACTAAACTATGTATTTCACATTATAATGCTGTTCTTGTTTTCTTTTGTAGCTGGTTGGTGGTGAATTTGATCTAGAGATGAACTTTATAATCCAGGATGCAGAGAGCATTACGTGCATGTCAGAGCTTTTGGAGCACTGTGATGTAACGTGCCAAGCAGAAATCTGGAGTATGTTCACAGCGATTCTTCGTAAAAGTGTCCGTAATTTACAGACTAGCACGGAAGTTGGCTTAATTGAACAGGTACTGCTGAAGATGAGTACTGTGGACGACATGATTGCAGGTATAAATTGCCAACTGATAAAATGATTATTGCATTCTTAAACTGTCAACGTTTTGTGACTATGGAAGGGTTTGGGATGTCTTGGATTTTACTTAATGCGATATTTTGATTAGTGCTTGCTATTGAGTCGGAAGTACTATTTTATCAATTTCAGAAAAATGAAAAAATTCATTCTTATTTTAAAAAATATGTAGATAACGTTGATCAAAATAGCTGTTAATTCATCTGAGAAGATAATGTTAGTGACAAAAAAAGCAATTTTGAACATGATTAAGAACAGTACATGTTGGACTTCTTAACTGTCAAGGTAATATTTTAGTTTTTAAGTGCATTAACCGTTCTTAATTATTAAGATGTTAGAATTGTTACTATGATCCAATTTAAACATAGCCTACCTCTGACAGCATATCAGAAATTATTCATAGCTTTGAATGCTGGACATTTGGATTATATTAAATGGTAATTTCATAATTTATAGCTGTGCTCCCTATAATATCTCTTCAGTTTTTATGCTTGTGATTTTTCACATCCTATAATTTTTTACAGCATTAAAAAAATAGCATACTTTGCTTACTGAAAATAAGTGATGAAGTTGTTGCACAGCTATGGTTTTCAGAGTACTTTTGGAGGAGTTTATGTTATTCCATACTAATTCTTCTCAGTAGTAGGATACAGATGTAATCTTGAAATACTTGATTAGTGGAGCAGGTTTGGTCGTTACATTTAAATACAGCAGCTGAGAGCTATGTATGATTGGTATTTATCTGCTCCTTATTTTTCTTGGGAGAAACTTAAGCCAAGCAGTTTCTTTCAACTCAGTGTGAAAGCAGTTCTTAATTTTTATGTATTTTGGGGCTGATAGTAAGATACTTAAATTGTGAGGCATTATTGAAAGATTGAAGAGGTTTGTCTTCCATAATTCTAAGATTTTAGTTCATGATCTGATTCCTGACACATATATAGGCTTTGTGGCACAGTAAACCAGCAAGGATTTCACACCAGAAACAAGAGGAGGATAACAGCAGCGTGAAAACTGTATTATTCAGGAATGGCTTTGTCCTTGGCTTTTTTTGCGGTATAAAGGTGTCTGTAATATTAAGTATTTGAAAAAGCTACATTCTGTATTTCAAAGCAAGTCTTAGTGAACACCTTGTCAATTAGAAACGTGTGTGTAAATGCTACAGCCAGAAGTGTTATGCTAAATATTTTACTGTGGGATTCAAACAGAATTATAAAGATCAATAGCTTCACAAGCCAATGTTTTTCACCAAGTATGTTTTGTTTTGCAAGACAATGCAGAATAGTATAAAGGCAGAGTTATTGTTTTATTCCACATTAAATAGAACACTTCAGTTGATGAAAACAAACATTTCTATCTTGAAGTTTTTCAGAGTTTCAATCATGGAAATAATGTGCTTGCAACAGCAATCATACCAATAAAATTTGTCCAATTTGAGCATATCCCCTAAATAGTACTTCTGTATGTGGCATATATAATTGTAATGATGTCTCCATTAGAGAGAAAGTTTAAGAAATGCTTACATAGTTGTAGAAGTCAGAAATCAAGAGTGTAGGATCTGGCTTCCAGGAGCATTTGGGAGTTGAAAAATCACTCTGAATTTACAACTATTAGCATAAGCCAGGGTTAGTACATTAATAAAAAAATTAATGGAGCCTCTACCCCATTAAACTTTCCGAGAGTGGTCACACAGTGCTTCAGAAAGAGACCTTCTGCAGAAAAAAGATCATTAAGCTTTCTCTCCTGTATATTCACACAGACAAAGAGAGCACATATTTAATTTAAAATCAAAACTGAAAATTGGAATTCTGATGGCATTTTAGCTCTGTAATGTGTGTCAAATTATCTGAATAGTCTTCTGTGTATCATGAGGAGGGTTTTAACAGAATCACGCTTTGTAGAGTTTTTCTCTGATCACTGTAAATAGATGAGAAGGTGGATTTCTTCAGAATTTTTCTGACAAAGACATGGAAGCAAGCAAATTCATCATTTTGCTTTTATCTCTTTATGTCTGCAAGCCTCTCATCACCCTTCTATAAATGACAACAATGTTGGTAATAAGTCAGAAGTAATAGATATGGCCATGTAATAGCCAGTTCAATGGTAGGCACTTGGTGACAAAATCAGTGACGACTAATGCAGTATCTGTGTTCTCTAATCTGCTATGCAGATGTTGAGGTCATAAGTGACATCAGATGACTGTAGAACTGCTTTGCCTCAAATATTTCTGCGAACTTTCTAAACCTAGAGAATAAAGTAAGAAATTTTGTGACAAAATGATTTATAACATTCAGGAAGAATGTTTTGAACAAGAGCTGTGTTAGTGTTTACTCCTAGGAAGTTAGTGCCTCTTTCATCCCAAAACAGTTGCCAATACTCTGTCAGCCCAATGTTTTGCAATTGGCTTTTATCATCTGTAAAGGGTACAGGTTTTCTGGCTTTTTATTTGTTTGTTTTGGGAGTTGGTTGTTTGTTTTTAGGTCATCTCACTTGTTCCTTTGTGAAATGCTGTGATTAGACCTAGATAAGGTTTAAACAGACAAGACAGGCATAATATCTGTTTTATGTTCTGACAGCATGCTTTCAGGACCAGTCTAAGTCTGAAGCCACTCTTCTCTGGTTTTATGAAAGTAAGGCAACAGCAAATAAATATGTACCCAATCTTTTGCAGTAAGAAGAACTTGTCTGTCTGCTTAGATGAAGGCTAACAGATGCGTGAGGCTTCTCAGCACTTTAAGTGTCTCACTTCTTGAGATTTTGCAGACTCAAACTTAATCACCTTGAAAGTCTCAATTGCAATCCAAATGGGATCATAGCCACTTGTATTCCAATTTGCTTTCCAGAAGCATCACCTATCAGAAGTCATCTTTGTACTGTGATTATCTATTATACTAAGATAGGGGATGGTCAGCCATTTTATCAATGGTCAAGGGGAAAAGATTACCAAAATATTCACATGGGCGATTGACACTTTTTCTTTTTTTAACAGTTGCACAGTTTTTTCCTTGAGGGATTCACTTTTTACAGTTCCCTATTTCCAGGTGATGAGCAGGGAAGCAGCTCATCTGCTCTGAGAGACTCTTTGTTATAGTGTGTCTGTAGTACCTTCAGAGAAGTCTGAATGGTGGATGAGAAAGTAGTCTGAACTTGTAGAGTGAATATGTCTCCCTTGAGCCCAATTTTATTTCCTGCAGTTCTGTTGTGGTGCTGTAGGTAGTTGTTCTAAAATTGCTGGAACCGAATTCTTAAGCACTGAAACGGTTCCTAGTTTTTAAGCAAAAATGTTAATTTTTGACTGCTCTGTCATTAATAGGCTGTTAACAAGCATTTCTCTTTTGACTGGTTCCATAAGAAAAACTGCAAAATTATCACGTTCTCTATTATCAACCTATAGAAAGTAATTTACTTCACCAAGAGAGTTAAAATCCACAATTTCCTAACTGTCTGTTATTAAAAGGTTAAGGAGGCATGAGGATAGTTTTCCTGAAGCTGCGTTTCTAATGCTGTTTAATATGTCTCCTAAAGTTAATGCCATACCAGTCATTTTGATATATTCTCATTGTTACTTGAAAGACAGGCAGGCTCTTTTACCATTGTATTTTCATATTGAATGATTGAATTAAGCGTTTGTTTAAGGTTTCTGATTAATTTATAGATCATACATAAACTGCTTAGTATGAAAGTAATCAGAAGGTGCCATTGACAAATGTAAAATCTGTTGTATTCACTGCATTTTAGGAATGCATTAAAAATGAGAAACGGTGCCTGTTTTCTCCTTCTGGACTAAGTATTATTTTATACGACCTTGTTTCTGAAATGAGATCATAGATGCTAGTTATATATGTGATCTTATTTAATAGGAAAAAAATGAAGTAAACATTAAAAAAATCCAGTCTTAGTATGTTTTCTGACCTTTGTCCATTTATAAATGAGTGGATTATTAGGATTTATAAACCAGATGTGGACTGACTCTTTTATATAAGATTTCTAATAAGTATGAATAAAGTTGTGTAATACTATAGTTCTTTTTAAGTCTTCTTATATTGAAACGAGAAACAAACCTTCTTTAGAGGTGTTTACAGCAATAATTTGAATGATCATTAAGTGCTTTGACTTCCACAGATGTTCTATGCTTTGTTACCTACTGGACTTCAGTCTTTCAGGTCTTTGTTTTACCCAGCATTACACTGTTAGGGAGCTTATATTTGTTTCTCTCCATCAATACTTTATTCATTATTTATAAATATGTATTTCTAATGCCTGTGGGTTATCAACATGTTCAGTAGAAATAAGAAAATTTTTGTGCCGTAAGGTAGTACAGGGCTATAACAATGAAAGAATGCAGCACATGTTCAGTAATTTTAAAAACCTGCCAGTCATTTCTGTGTTTGACTGTATTAATTTACGCTTTCGTTGCCTATGTTAAAATTTTTTTTTAATGATGTTCTGATTTTCACCAAACAACTTTCCTTCTACACAACACTTTTTCCCTGTAAAGGAAGCAAAATTTGAAGTCGCTTGATCTAAAAAGCAAGCTAAGACTATAAAATAAAAATAAGGAAATTCTCAGCCAAAGATTAGTATTCACTTGTGCTGATTTCCCTTTCTGAGTTTTCAGTGTCTTACTGTTCTCAATTTCTGATCACGTACAATATGTGCAATCACTGTCAGCTTGACCTTGCAGGCTGTAGACTGTATAGTGAAGGGGGCAGATGCTTGCAGGTACTAGAGAAGGAGTTGAGTCACAGAATTTACCATCATAAAAGACAAGGAGTTTTAGTTTTCTTGGCTTTATTTTGCTTAAGAAATTCTGTCACAAATATAATGTGGCACTAATTTTAAAGAGAAAATTAAATAAACTCTTCTTTTAAAGAAAGGAGGAAAAAAAAAGTCTATACTTGAACATCAGGAATATATTCAGATCTTATGGTGAAAATGACTGCAAGTTACAGTGTTTTTCTTTTGCCTTTCCTGACATACAGTTTCACTCACTGAAGAGCTTGCTATGCCTCCTGTAAATGATATTTCATTCTTCACACATGCCATTTGCTTACTGAGGACCAAATGTTGGTTTCATGGTGGAACAAGTTCAACAGATATTGATAGTTTCACTCAAAAACATGTACCTAGGGATTTGCAGAGAGAAAATTTGTTTTAAAACAAAATATCAATGCAAAATGTCCTTTAAAATGATGGAATCCTTTTTGAGACTACTCTTTGTCAGCACCTGTAAGAGTCATCCTTTCACTAATGAATGAGGAAAGCATATAGTCCTGCAAATAAGATATAAGCTTATTCATGTCTTCTATAAGTTCTATGGGGAATATTTTCTGTTTGTTGAACAGATTGAAGAAGTTCATTAATACTGATTCTATTGTGTCATAGCTTTTTTGTTTTGGAAACTCTTTACTTCACCGCTTGATCTCTGAATTAAATTTCTTATGCCACATCTGTGAAGATAAGCAAAATGTTTTTCCTTCTCTTAGAAGAAGTCTTAATTCTTAGTAGTGCATTTTATTCCAGAAGAAGTTGTGGAGTATAAAGCAAGTCCATATCCCACAATCCTTAAAATGAAATTAAAATCAAGGTGCAAGCACAAGCAGTAATTTTAAACCGATATTCTCTGAAATGCAAGTTATATAATGCTATTACTTTAAAAGTTTATGAGGTTTGAGATGTTTTAATGAAAGCTGTATTACATAAATTTGTTAGTGATTTTGATCACTTCTTTTCTTGTGATCTTTTATTGTTTTCTCACTGTGATTTTTTTGAGGTTTTTTGGTGGGTTTTTTTTTTGTTTGTTTTTCCAGGCCTTTCATTCTGGTAAAAATTGGAAGCATTATCACTGTAGCAAAACTGTGGGAACCATACAAATTCTCAGTATAATGTGCTGTGCTTAAGTTAAAGAATAATGTCAAGCATCTTTTAGGTCAGAAATTTTTGAAAAATACTAACATCAGAGATATGAATAAACCCTTATCCCAAAATTGTATGACAGAAAGGAACGAGCAAGAAGTTCACAATTTATGATGAATGTTATGAAATGAGAAGAATTAAGTCTTCACAAATTTAATAGATACTTTGTTTAAAGTGTGACACAAAATCTAAACTGCATATGTAAATTTATTTTTGAGATGACTAAAACAATGAGAATATTAAATTCTTTGTAAAATATTTAAGGCAACTAAGTTTGATTTTTAGAATTTGTGAATACACTTACTCTTAAAGGTATTAACTTTTTCAGCTTTTTTGTCAAAACAGTGAAATTCAGAGTTCAGAATAACTTTATTTTCCTTTGAAGATCTTCTAGTTGATATGTTGGGGGTTCTTGCCAGCTACAGCATCACTGTCAAAGAGTTGAAGCTTTTGTTCAGCATGCTTCGAGGCGAAAATGGAATCTGGGTAAGCTGTGATCAGATAAAGCATTAAGTGTCATTCCATTAGAGCCTGAAGTTAACATAAATTGTCTCCTGGGACATATAAACTAGAATTGTTTTTTTTTTTCATGTTGATTGAACATATGTTTATGAAGTATTTTTGCTAACTACTTTGGAGTTAATTTGCTGTGTTGTTTGAAAACCGTCCAGTTTCCATTGTAGCCTAGAGAGTACAAAAATGGTTGTATTAACTTTTGTGCAATTTTCTTGTTTTCGCAGCCAAGACATGCAGTTAAACTATTATCAGTCCTTAATCAGATGCCACAGAGACATGGGCCTGATACCTTTTTCAACTTCCCAGGCTGTAGTGCTGCAGTAAGTTTTCAACCAAAATACTACAACATGAAAAACAAATAAATTTCTCCTCATTTACGTTTCCTTAGATTTGGCTTCTGAAATTCTTGAAAAGGAAACAAGAGGGGAAGTACGTGCTTGAGTAGCATAGACCCTGCCTTCCATAGGTTTCCAAGGTGGTTGTAGTGTTGAGAAGTTGCACTTGTGAGGATGGAACATCAAAGAGCAGATATTTGTCTGGGGAAATGATCATAGAAGTGAAACTGAAAATTTAAAAAAAACTATTATTTTCTTTGAATACTGTAGTTGATATATAAAGCAGAGGCTTAAGGAAAATATAGGTATGAGCTTGTGTGTGTTATCACAGTTTATAGTGATACCTTAGTCACAAATTTTATTGTATCTTTTTCTTTTTGTCTGAACTCCATCAGCTGTTTCCTTTCCCTCAGGCAGTGATTTCAATGCAGTCTGCTTTTGGCTTTACTTTTTGAGATAACTTATGATGATAAAATTGTATTCCTTTCTAAACCTTCTCAAACAGATATTCTCTATTCCATTCAATGACATGTAAATTCATTCAATCATGTAAATTCAATGCATGTAAAACCTAAAAATAAATTCAGATTTTGTAGATAGATTTATAAATACGATTATTAAGGCAGTAAATACAAACGCTGAAAAATGAGAAATCCAGATTTGAGGTTCAGTTCCATTCTGGTGTGGAATAGTATATGCTCCTGGTAGTATTTGGAGAAATAATCCTGGGATCCCTGTCTTTTCATGCCAGTGCATGAAGGGTGTAGGATCAGCTCTTGGGCCGTTCTACTTGTATTACCTCAAAAGCACTGATATTTCTCTTCAAGCATAAGCCACCTCCTCCTGTTCTTTGTGAATACAGCTGTTGGTGTGGTAGATTGCATCAAGGAAATAAACTGACTGAAAATCACTATTTTTCACCTGGGTTATTTTTGGCTAGATCACTTCCCTGGTCTTGTTTGATATTCAGCTGCACAAACAGATGCGTCAGCAAAATGCATGGGGCAGATTGTGTGAGGAATTAATTACTGAGTTTTGAAAGAGAGAGTTTCGTTTGCTACTGCTAAATTAAAACCACAGTTAACCTCTCCTAGCAGTACATGCAGCAGCAAGACAGCTGTTGCAGAATATGAATGTTTGCAATGACACAAACTGCTTTGACGTTTCTGGGCTTCAGAGGCAAACCCTGATGAAATGTCTTTCTTAAATTTAGTTTTGTATTAGAGCTTCAAAAAAAGCTTTGCAGGGGAAGAATGTCAAATATTCCTCCCTGTCCAAAGAGATGCATCAGTTATTGGAAATCATAGTTAAAATTAAGTTTGCAGTACTGACAGTTATACAGGGGCATAAAGTTTCTTGATTGAAGTGGACAATAGGCATTTATCTTTTCTTGGTTAGGATCTTGTTTCACAAACCACTCATCATTGACTGTGCACCTATAAGTCAAGAAATAAGAGTTTCAAATTTACATTTCTTGAGTAGTGCATGTTGGATTACACTATGAAGTTCTGGAGAGGAGCTTTCCTCTGAGGAGGACCAAGGGCAATTAATTGTAAAATTACTCAAATAACGAAGCACTTCATAAGAAGAAGGAGAATGGATAGGACCTAGTTTACTAGCACTGAGTTCGAGTTTTTAGGTGTGATGCACAGTGAGGACATTAGACAGAGAAACAACATAATGTTTACCTAGCATGATAAATATCAGATTGGCTCTTTTAAAAGTGAGGTGCATGCTCCTTGTATGACCAAGACTTTAGTGATAGTATGAAAGAGCTAACAGTCTGCTGGATCAGTCTGCTGGTGAGGTCTACTTCACCATCCCGACTGATGGCCTCTTTCCTGTACCGTGTTACATCTCTGCCAGTCTGTATAAGTAGCACATTAGTCACTCCATTAGGACACCTTGTGATGATGTTAGTATTCCCAGGTGTTGTTCCTGTTTGTCATCAAGCAAGAATTTTCCTATTTCAGGCAGGGAACTCCCTCTCAGGAGGCAGGAGTGATATCCCAAAGCAGTTCCTTGAAATGTTTTGTACTGAGCAGTTGGTACCAGACTAGCAACAGAATTGGTGTTAGTTCTTTTGTCTAGTCAAATACTAGCATAATCTGAGCACATTGCAGTATCTAATTATAAAATTTACTGTGAGTTCCTTAGTGTTCTTAAATACCTATGTATCTGCTCTTAAAATTCTTTCAGCAATTATCTTGCATATAAAAATAATGAAAAGTCAGCCCCACTATGTACCATCTTTCCGCATACTTGACTGTATTGGCATAGAATTTTAGTGTGGCTATTGTGATGCTATTGCCAAAAGACTCATATCCGTTCTCATTTTAAGCAATAAAAGAGTTTGCTACAATTCTTTGTAGTCTTCTGTATGAATCAGGACAGTACAAGATTTGAGCACTCCTGAAAAAGTATTTCCAACTGTGACCACTAAGTATCACACAGAATCACAGAAAGGGTGACATTGGAAGGGACCTCTGGAGGTCATCTTGGCCACCACCTTTGTGCTGAAGCAGGACCACCTAGAGCAGGCTGCCCAGGACCATGTTCGAGTGGTTTTTGAGCGTTTCCAAGGATGGAGACTTCACTAACTCTCTGTGAAACCTCTGCCAGTGCTGCCAGTATCAGTGGTAGTTTTGATAAGAACACAATACTGTCAGTGCAAGGGCTAATAAATTAGCCTTTGTTATTTTAAACTGAAGTTGAAGCTTATATTATCTTAGTGAAGCTGAAAAATATCAATTAAATACACTTAGAAATAACATGTTATAGTTATTTAGAAAGTTATTTTCTTCTGCTTTGTATTTATATACAACTTCTTGCAGGTAGTAGTAAAGGCTATTATTCCTTAACTACTTTTGAGAAAGATGTTCTGTATTTTGTCTGATGGAGGGAAAAATAATTTATTGTAATGAGTGCCTACTAAAGTAATCTCTGAATTATTGCAAACATTTAATTTCTTAAATTTTTTAAATACTTCATTTTCTGTATAGTTATCAACTGAGGGGAAAAAATGTTTTATGTTTTAGTGGTGTCACAGAAAAAACTTATTTAGTAAGTGACTTCTGAAGTTCAGCTTGTCAGATTTCGTCCCTAAAGTGTGCCTAACTTCAAAGTTAGATCAGGTGTTCAGGGCTTTGCCCAGGGCTAGAGTTCTCTGAAGCCTCTTCATTAGTCTCAGCCAAGAAAACAAAATATTGAAAAATCAAATTTCTTCCCAGGCCATGCCTTACTATTAATTTATTTAACTGAGAATGGGGGTAAGATTTGCAGTCTCTTACTTTACTATTTGTAAGAAAAAAACTCATAGTGCTGTTAAATCTCAGAGAACAACCTTTTTTTTTATACTGTAGTTTTAACAGTCAATCTCTATTGCACTGTCTGTTGAGGTTAATTTGATCTTAATGTTTAAGACTATTGATGTTATGAATACTTAATGAAAGCTGAATTTACAGTTTCATTTCTGCAGAGGTAATTTTTCCCTTTTTTTCTCTTAATATTCCCCATTCAGAAATTTAATTTCATGTCTTCTATCGGTAGAATTTATGTAGTTAAAAAATTAAAGTAGTTTAAAATAGATGGAAAACTAATGCATTTTTTCAAAAGCACTAGTTGAAGTGGTTTTTTATATTCATTAATATTTAGAAGTTAGATCAGATCCAAAGATCTAGAATGACAGGATTTTAGAAAGGCATTACCTTTAGCAATACTTCTTGCTTAACCATACTTACTTGTTGTTTTTTCCTTTTTTTTTTTCTGCCCAGGCAATTGCATTGCCTCCTATTGCTAAGTGGCCTTATCAAAATGGGTTTACCCTTAACACCTGGTTTCGTATGGATCCACTAAACAATATCAACGTAGATAAGGATAAACCCTATCTCTATTGGTAAGTAACTTGTAATGCTGCAGTTATGGTTTTGTCTGGCTTCATAACAATTGTTAGTCTTTTTTATAGTTTTTAGTTTCTGACATGCTTTTTCACCCCCCCGAATACCTGCAGATTTTAGTGGCTGCTTACCGTATACAAACTCTTAAAAAGTAATCTGTCATTTTTGCTTTGCAATTTATAAATCCATGGATGCAAGACATTGTGCCTTGTAGATAAACAATAAAATTCAATGTGGTGGTTTCTTGAGCGATTTTAAAATATTTTATTTCTTAGAGCTGTAAGCTGAGAATCTTGTCTTTTCTCTTTGGTGTTTAAGATTCTCAGCTATAAAATAAATCCGTTGTACGCAGAGCGCACTGTTTGCACATTAGCTAGAGGTAATAGAAAGTAGGTCTGTGCATATAGATATGGCTCATTGATCACCTGTTCCCCAAAAGGAAAGCTGTATTTCCTAATAGATTAATTGCAGGAGAGACCATTTTAGTTTACTCAGGTTTGCCGTTGTGATAAAAATAGAAATAATTACATCCTTAATAAAGCCTGATATTTGTATAAAATTAAAACTGTTTATTCTATTGGTCAGTCATGAAAAAAAAGCTTTTTCACTGCAGAAATTAATCATATATCTGCTCAAGTATAGTTGTCTTAACTGAAGGAAAGAGGAATGAGGAAAATAAAGAACCTTCTGTTCTGTCAGGATATGCTGATATTTTCTTCACCACTTCTTCATTCTTTATTTATTTGCTATTTGTTATGCTTACTTTTTCTCATATCCTTAAAAGCTGTATATCAACTGCGCAGACGGATAAGGATTGGACATAAGCAAGATCTGTTAAGTTTTATCAGCTCAGGAATACAGGAGTAGCACAAGGAGGGAAGTAACCAAAAGTAACATTTCTCGGTATGTAGTCGTTCCAGGTAGTCAAAAGAGCAGAAGTTTTTAGTAGTCAGGTGAGGAGAAGACCAGTAGATGTGGTCGTAGGAAGGTACTTGTACTATCAATACCTACAAATCTTACTGGGCATTTCCTCAGAAAACCAAAATACTTTGTATGTTTTACAGAATGATTAAAAATAGTTCAGGTTTATTCTGAAGAAAAAAAGTTAATACATATTCTCTAAATTACCATCTAGGGTAAAATGTTTCCATGTGTCCATTTTCTGCTAAATGCTATGGTTATTTTACCATGGAGATTTTTTCAAGCTGTTGGCTGTAACTATGTTTATTAGTCTATATTTTATTTATTTTTCAGTCTGCCAAGAACAATAATAAATTCAATCATAGGACTGAACATGTATACAGGAATTTAACATGATCATTTGTTTCTCAGCCAGAATTTATGTTTCAGAATTGGCAACCTTAGGTGGTATGTTTGGTTTGAGAACTTGTTACTGCCTCAGAACAGCCAAAGCATACTGCAAAGTTGCACAGCCTGTGATACGTGGTGCTTTTCTTAGGGTTGGTAGTCTAGAAAGACCTTTAGCCTGAGTGATGAATATGGTTCCCTCTGATTCGAATATAATGCAGAAGCATCAATGGCATTAGGTTAGAATAACTTCAGATATTTTATTATTTGTATACGTATTTTTTGCCATGATGTAGTTCTGATGTTCATTATGATATGATGACTCTTACTAAATTCCAAGGGTTTTGAGCATGCTTTTTAGCGTATTTTTTGCACTGAAGTAGTTTTAAATCCTCTGTGTGGTACACTTGCCTTAATAGTTATGTATACTTCATATATGCCTATGTCAGTGGGAATTAACTTCTGATTCTATTTTTAGGTATACTGATTTAGATCTTTTCTTCAAAAACATGGCCTATATTCACTTTGCTACAAAGAAGTGATATAGCTTAGAATAATTGCCATGTATACATACTTAATGCTTACTAAAGATATCTGCCTTTAATGAACAGATTTTTTCTTGATTAGAATGTTTGTTTTAAAACGTCAACAAATAAACCACACAAAGCTGCTCTTTGAGTTATTAAAAAAACCCTGATTTCTTCCTTGAGAAGAATTCTAGGTCTCACCTTAACGTTATACTCTAAAGAATATTTTTTATTAACATACTTCTTATTAGCTACAACCATAACATTTCCATATTTGGTTAAAAATTTCCATTGAAAGTATAATTTGCCTATAATAAGTAACTTAGTATAATATCTACTTATTAGATTGATTAGGATAAGGAGTCTAGCAGAGTAAGAAAACATTTTTTTTTTCTACAAGTTTATCTTCCCCCATGGTTGATGTGTGCTTCTGTTCGATTTCATGGGTTTTCTGCTATCATAACGCAAAACATACCAAAATAATGTCTTCTATATTTTGTTATTGCAGTTTGGAAACTTGGGGAGAGAATATAGCCCCAAAACATATGGAGTTTCAGCTCTTTGATTGTAGCGCTTAAAAGATAACCTCTCTAGTAAAGATAGGTATTCTGCTGCATGCACAGGCTCTTCAAGTAGTCCTTGGCCGTATCCTCGCTGTTCCACTTTGTTACATGTTGTGGAATATATGTAAAAGGACAGTATTTATCAAGGATGGGCAATAAAACTGTTACTAACAAGGTGGAACTTTGCAAGTGCTTCATATGAGCCACAGGAAGAAGTCAGTCTTACAGAAATCAAATGCCAAAGTTGAGTCTGTGTAAATGCAAAGTGCATGTAATTCACATAAGAGAAACTGAATATGCCAGCCTCAGAAGAAAATTAGGAACAATGCAAATACTTGTCATTTTTATATAGTGACTTAAACCAAGCCATAATTACCAGTTAAAACCAGGAAGAATATTCAAACTAAGTCATCCATCTGAACTTCTTTATGCAGATTTTAGACTTTGCCACAGGAAAGATTGTCATGCACATCCACCACTAAGAGGGACATACTAAAGCAAAGATTTGTTTTCAATGGGCATTTTGGGCATATAATATCTTTTTCTGTTTAACTAGGTGAAAATGTGTCTTATAAATTAACTCTTTCTTCATAGTTTCTTCTTAGAAGTCCTCTGTCTTTTAAACAATCTTTGTTTTAAAAGCCATAACTTAGTAGCATGCACAACTTCAAAGAGGACTCTGATTTGAAGCAGGGGTTCTGAAAGCAACATCAGCTAGAATAGATTCCTCAGGACCTTCTCCAGTCAGGTTTTTGAATATCTTCACAAATGGAGACCTCGTAACCTCACCGGGAAACCTGTACCAGTCTTTGACCACACTCATATTGAAAAAGTTTATCAATTTCAATTTGTGCCCATTGTGTCTTATCCTTTCAGTGAATATCACTGGGAAGTCTCTGGCTCAGTCTTTTTTACTCCTCACCCATCAGGTATTTATACACCTCTTCTCCAGGCTAAACAGCCCCATATCTCAGCCCTCTTCTCATGTGTCAGAGGATTTGATCATTCAGTCATCTTTGTGGCCCTTTGCTGGACTCTGCTGGGTATGCTCATGTCTTTCTGTGCAGCTCAGAACTGGACACAATACTCCAGATGTGGTCTCTATGGTGTTAAGGACAGGGGAAGGATCACCTGCGTCAACCTGCTGGCAATGTTTTTCCTAATGCAGCCCAGGATACCATTGGCTACCTTTGCCGCAAGGGTGAATTACTGACTCATGGTCAACTTACTGTCCACTCAGACCACCTTTCTGTAAAGCTGATTTCCAGCTGGTCAGTACCCAGCATATACTTGGGGCAGTTCCTCCTCAGGGGCAGGACTTTGTATTTCCCTTTCTTTGTTGATCTTCATGAGATTCTTGTTGGCCTGTTTCTCCAACCCACTGTGGTCCCTCTGAATGGCTCCACACTTATCTGGTGTATCTACCACTCCTTCCAATTTTGTATCATCAGTAAGCTTGCTGAAGGTGCACTCTGTCTCACCATTCAGGTTATTAATGAGGAAGCTGAACAGGACTGGACCCAGTATTGACCTCTGCGGTACTCCAACAGTCTGATTGGACTCATGCCACTAATGACCATGCTTTTAGCCCATCAGTTCAGTTAGTTTTCAGATCACCTCACCATCCATTTAGATGGCTCGTTCTTCAGTAGTTTGTCACTGAGATTTTCAGATCACCTCACCATCCATTTAGATGGATCGTTCTTTAGTAGTTTGTCACTGAGGTTATTACAATGTTGAAAGGTCTTGCTAGAAAGTCAGGATAAACATCTACAGCTTTCCTCTCCATCCTCCAAGCTAATCGTCTCATCGTAGAAGGCTATCAGCTTGACTGAGCATGATTTCCAGTTTGTAAATCCATGCTGATTATTCCCAATCACATTCTTAGATATGATCCAGTGAGTGCAGAAAAAAGTGGCCAGAGGCCTTTCTTGGGGGAGAGACCTGTTACATCAGCTTGACCATGATGTGAAAACTAATGCTTAAAAATGGAGAAGGCAAACAAAGAAATGCTTTTGCTTTTGCAAGATGTGAGGGAAAACTTGTACTGTTCTGTAATTAGCTAAATAATAAGAGCTGCTTCAAGAACTGTAAGCCAATTTTTTTTCTTAAAAAAAAAAAAAAAATTTAATTGTCTCTGAGGGTTATGTTGGGCAGCTGCTAAGTGACAGTCTATTAATACTGTGTATTGGAACAGTATTGTAACTTTCTTACCAATTACAAAATCACTGGTACAATCCTGGAAGAAAATTAAAAGTCTTTGACATTTGCATAGATGATAAATAGCAGTAAGGAAAAATGTTTGTTGCAGAGCAGTCATGTTCAAATGGTAAGATTTCTATAGCACAAATTTTAGTTCCAGAGGGACCTTGACAGGCTGGAGAGGTGGGCCTGTGAGAACACAATGAAGTTCAAAAAGGCCAAGTGCAAGGTCCTACACGTGGGTCGGGGCAATCCCAAGCACAAGTACAGGCTGGGTGGAGAATGGATTGAGAGCAGCCCGGAGGAAAAGGACTTGGGAGTGCTGGTGGATGAGAAGCTCAACATGAGCCGGCAGTGAGCACTGGCAGCCCAGAAAGCCCAGAAATTTTTTACATTGTGTGTGGTGAGGCAGTGGAACAGGTTGCCCAGAGAAGTTGTAGATGCCCCATCCCTTGAAGTGTTCAAGGCCAGATTGGATGAGGCTTTGGGCAACCTGGTGTAGTGGAGGTTGTCCCTGCCCATGGCAGGGGGATTGGAACTAGATGATCTTTGAGATCCCTTCCAACCCTAACCAGTCTATGATTCTATGATAAGCAAACCAATGTGATATATATGTAGCAGTGAATAATAGGTGCCATGCTTAGAGAATTAGTATTATGTATTCAAAAGCAGTAATTACAGAAGGATGTTAAGGGTTATTGTAGGTAACCAACTGACCCTAAACTGCTTTTTCATTGCTCTAGTTGAAACAGCTAATATGATTTTTTCAAAGATATTCTGAACAGAAAAGAGAGAAAAGGTGACGTGATCACTTCCTGAAATCTTGGCAAAACCATTACTGGAATACCATTTTCAGTTAAGAATTGTTAGTTCTTTTAAGAGCTCATGATAAAAATTGGTGCTATTCAGAGAATGCTCTGGAGTGAACTATACTCTGGAAAACATATTTTATAATGAAATCTTCCAAGAAAAAAAAAAGATGAAATTAAGATGCTGTTGACCTCTGTTTTCAGAATTTATGCAAAATCTGATGTGGATTGCTTAATCTGAGATCCAGTGGGTAGACAGCCAAATAGGAAAATTCAAACTTTTAGACGCACAATACTATGGTCACTTTAACTATCGCCAATTATGGTAAGACATAGTATAATAATAATCACAGTTTAACAGATTGTTGGAAATGTTTCCTCAAAAATGAGATGTAGATTCTTTGTAATAAAAACAGTGCAAATTTAGGAATTTAGGGCTAACCTTAAGCACACTCAACTGGCAAGTCTCCAGCTTCTAAATCTCTATACTTGTTTCTGCTAAAAAAGGAAATGGGGTGACATTACTTCAAAGTAAGACTTGGAATTAGATAAAATCCATCCAGATATTAAGATTGTTTGGTTTTGTGTTTTTTTATTATTTTTTTTAAGACATACTTTGTTTCATATTATATATGGGGCTCTGTAAAAGAATTAGAGGGTGAACTGAGGCTGGGTTGTCATAATTGTTGCTTTTTTTCCTTAAAACATCCAAGTACTTCCATAACTATTTAATGGAAGAATGGCTGAAACTTCTAAAAGAGCATTCTAAATTTTTTATTTAATGATGTAGGGACAAGAAGAAAAAACAAAAAACCCCACAAAGCAAGTTGTCTAGACTATTTAATCCATCTCTAGAGCTAGTAACAATAGAGATAATGCAGAATAGTTGCAAAGACACATTATGGAATTCCAAAGTCAGTAGACAGGAAACCTTTTTTTTTTTTTTCCCCCTTGAGGAAAGAATGAATTAATATCTTCTCAATCTAAGTACTGTGATCATGTGCTAAATTGCTTGTAAAACCCTAAACTAAAGAAACTGGAATCACTAAACAGTTTCACCAGTGGATGGAAGAATGCTTGCCTGCTATTGGAGTGTAATAACATCCAGTAGCTGCTTTGAGAAACTGACTGAAATGAAACATGACTGTAAAGGTTTTATGAACGATCTGTAGTGAAATTGTAAACCAGCTGCTATGAGAGACAGATAAAGGCTTATAAAACCATATGGGTGTTGACAGTACTGCTCTTGACTCTGTGCATTTCTTCTTTGGATGTGTCAAGTTCTGCATGTGTCGGTAACTGGTAAGAGAATTTCTGTGCAGTATCCTAGAGACCAGTCCTAGCCTACTTTACCTTTGGCAAGAAATAAAATGTGAAGATTGACATAATCTGTTTATTATAATGCTGAGGTAAACAAGGAACATAGTTGAGTTCTCAGTTTCTCAACTGCTGTTGTATTAGAATGCTAGTTTGTTAGGGCAAAAGAAAAGTAAAATCTTGGCTAAGCTTCCTGTTTAGAAAATCATTCATTCTATTCCAAGATTAAGAGTTGCAAATAAATGACCTATTTTTTCGTTATTTCATTGCTTTCTTGTCTTCATACGCGAAGCTCCAGGAAGTTACATGTATAAGGACAATTCAATATTTAAAATTTTAGAAACAGTCCAGTTTGACTATAATGGTGATAAAGTCAACCCAGTAATGGGAGAGGGTCAGGAAAGGGAAAAATTTTAAAGGTGTAGACATTCCTTCAAGAGCCATTCTGTTCTGTTGTGGTTTTTTTTAGAGTGTTCTCAGTGTATAACAAAATGCTTACTAGCTCCTGTTCAAAGTAGTGGGATGCATTTTACACAATTTTGATAATATTTTATCAGGTTAAAAGGTGATCATATTTACAATGATTTGCTCTTGGTAATTAAAAAACAAAAAACAAAACCCAAAACCCAAAACATTTTATTTGGCATCTCTACATCCCTACCAAATAATACTACACTGTATGTCAGAACGTTTATTTTTTTCACTATCCTTCAGAATAGGATTCTGTTCGCCAAACCATTTTAACTTGTAGAGATGACTTATGTTGCTGAGAAACAAATTTGGCATTGTGAGAGATGCAACTATCTGGTGAAAAGTTCTTTGAATGCCATAAAGTCCCAAGGAGGTAAATCAAAGTCTCAAACTAGCCCATAACACATTCAGTTATTCTTATTGTAAAAGCTGTATTTTACGGTTTTTAACCTTCATGTTATTGTGCAAAACTCAGTACTATGGTCATGCAGGTTGTTTGTGTATATGGTAACGCAGGTTATGTATGTATATGAGTAATGTTCTCCCATGAGGCTGTTCACCGTTCCTTTTGTTGTGAGGTATAGCTGCCTATGCGATCATTGTGGAAGCCAAGTCATTGAAATGATCCGTGTTAAAAATAGTCTTCAAAAGATTTAGGAGAATGGCAGTATTATAAATTGTCTTCACTGTTGAGGTCAGTGGTGATGGACAGTATGTAATTTTTCTCTTCATTCTTAGATTATATCTTAGGTTTATTGAGAAAGGATTTTTTAGGTTTTTTAATAGAGTGCCCTTTTTTTTGCAAGGAGGGTTGTGTGGAAGCCTGTACAAAGGGCTGTGGCAGGGAATAATGTTCCTTTCCAGTGCAGCAGCTTGAGCGAAGAGAGAATTGTGTACCATGTATAGAGGCAGATAGAAGAATGGGGAAACTGTAGCCTGAATTTGAGAAGATAAAGCTTCTGAAGCACCTTAGCAAGGTGGTAAACAGAAAGAGCAAACCAAGCAATGCCTCAAGGCCCACAGAACTGCCTTGATGACCAAAGATCATGCTGCAAATCAAAACTGGAAGTGAGGACCTCTGTACAAATGACCCGTTGAAGTGAAGTCAGATAAAGATGTTATTACTTCTGTTCTGTTTAGACTGATTGCTCTGTTTTTCACATTTAGTAGAAGCATTCTAATTAATTATAAAAAAAGTGTCTTTCTAGAATTTGAGAATTTGAATGTCTCTTTTTAACCTGCTTTAAAAATTCCTTTGTAGGAGCAGAACATCTAAGCTCTAGCTACCTCAGAGCCTAGTAACACCACATATTTTGTAAGGTACTTTTTTTCAGAAGTGGTTTATCAGCTATATTTTTGACAGTGAAGAAAGAGGAAAATCTGATTCTTTCTTTCTTTAATGTCCACATACATATTTAACCAAGAATTAGGTCTATAACTGTGCAATTTTTCCTGCATATTAAAATCAAGATTGTATTTGTATAGTAGGGTAGATGAAATATGTAGAATTTCAGCAGCTATTAAGTAAGATGAAATCTGATCTTAATATTTACATGTGTCTTTCACCTCTTAATGTTACTATGAAAAACCTAGTAAAACTGTTTGAAGAAAATGTTACAGCAATGAAACCATTTAAAACATCATTATTTTAAAAATACAAAATTATTTTATAAGTTACCTACATTAAGGAAATGAGAAAGTGTTAGTGGGCTACAGGAGTATACACAATGTTCAAAATTAGTCATATCTTTTTTTCTTATACTTGAAAAACTTCATTTCAGAATTTATGGATGAAGTTCACCATTTGGATCTTGTATTTCAGCCATTGGTTATTTTTAATAACATCATTGGTAATGAGTTTAAAAAAAAAATAGACTAAAAGATGTATAAAGTGTACTCCAGAGTAATGATAGCAGACTTCGTGTTATTGTACTTAGCTTTTCAGAACAGAATGTGACATAGCTGTAGAAATGGATTTACCTTTTTAAAAATGCTCTGTGTAATGTCATTCATGAATTTCCACCAGCTGCCTTTGCAAAATGTCTTTTAAGAAGTCCTGAATTTCTCTTTACAATGCTTTTGCTTTCAAATATAAGTAGAGAAAAGTATGAGCTTTCTGCATTATCTGTCTTTATGATATTTGTCACAGGAAAGCTGGAAACCCTTACTAAACTTACTTTGTTAAAATTGCAGTCCTTTATCAATTTGACAAATGAAAATAAATCCACAACTCAGATGCTTAAAGCTTCCAGGATCGTTAGCCTAACTAAATCATAAGTCTTGAAAAAGAAATAATTCTCGTGTGTAGTAATTACCTTGAATCCAAACTGGTATGTCATATGAGCTGCATTGTTCTCCCAAGCCCATAAATTTGCAAGGCATTTCGCATTTGTTCTGTGATGGATTTTTCTTTACAACTTAAATCAGACGCGTTATTTTAAATGATGATGAATTAGGAAACTAAGGGCAAAAGCTGACAGCTACAATATTTACCATCTTGGATTTTTGTTAAGGAAAAATAAAAGTACTGATTTTAGAATGTAGCCTGGAATGAGGTTAGTGATGGAGGTTAGTAGCTCTCCTCAAAGAAATGGTGTGGAGGAAGGATATAAAGGAAATCAAGTTCACCATTCCACATACTGATTTCTTTTCTTTTTCATGGCAATTCGAAGCGGTATTTGGACATTGTTTTATCAGACAATAATTCCCTTTTTTCCAATGTAATTAATTATTCTTTCTTTTCAGTTTCCGCACTAGCAAAGGTGTTGGGTATTCTGCTCATTTTGTTGGCAACTGCTTAATCGTTACATCATTGAAGTCAAAAGGCAAAGGTTTCCAGCACTGTGTGAAATATGATTTTCAGCCTCGCAAGGTAAGCAAAGTGGTATTCACAATTAAGAATAACATTGAAAATGTGACAAAAAAATGTGACAAATAATCTATAATTTCTTATTTATAAGTAACTGCTCTGATGGTCATGCGAAGTTTTATGTCATTTAAAACCAGAATCAATTCAAGAAAAAAGGTAATAGTTTATAAAGTAACACTTCTATAAAGTAAACTTGTTGTTAAAATACTGCTTAATTAGCTTCAAATAGAGAAGGATTTTCAGTATTTGTAAAATGGTTGTATTTTCGTTTTAAAAGGTTGCCGTTCTATTTCTGAACATCCTGTACTTGGTGGCTTTGGTGCCAATGGCCGTAACAATTTTGCTGGCAATGCTAGAGTTTCCGTATCTGTTGCTGGGAGATATAAGGCTCTGAACTTTCTTCTATGTCAGTGATGTTTTGGAATTTCTCATTTTTCAAAGTAAATCTTGATTATTTCTCTAGATCATATTAGTGTTCATTTTTACTGTGTGCCTAGTAGTCCTGGGAGAACAATGATTGTGCTGGCTTCAATATTTCAGTTAGTTGACTGAAGCATTGACTTTTCTGTACGGTGAGCATTATGTGTTTGTCATTGATAACAGCCTTGTATATATTTTGCTGTGAGCTCGTTTCTGGTTTTATGGCCTTAGAATTTGTATATTGAATTTCAGTGCTCGTTTTGTTTTGAGAAACCAATCTCTTAGGGAGGGAATGCCATTGTTCACTCATGAGCTTTATGTTCTACTGTTTTTCTTCGTATGTATTTGTGATTCAAAATCACTGATTCTAATTCTGTGATGTAGCTTTGAGATCATTTGTGGGTTTTTAAAACATAGTAATGTCTTTTTCTAGGATATTACTGAGGGATGTATAAAGCCTTATAAACTCATATCTGCTGAGTGTATTGAAATGAATCCACTCTGTTTTGCGATTTTTATTTAATTATATAGCCAGAAAAGAGTTTAGATGGCAGTTCAATTTTTTTTAAAGTAGTGTGTCTGATGCTACTGATAAAACACTCAACCTAGGAACAAACGGAATTGTTAACTTTTGGATTATGTTATTGATAACTAGGTTTTGGGAGCTAGTGTATCATTTCTTTACTTGTTTATGAAGAAGCAATCTTTTGTATTTTAGCATGATATTATTTTTATAATTTTTATTGCGAATGACTAGTTTCCTTCATGCCATCCCTGGAAAATTTTAGCTCTTGCTGTTGTAATTAAAAAGCTGGCTCTAAAACACTAGTACATGTATATCTCATTACGATCCCTGGAAAATTTTAGCTCTTGCTGTTGTACTTAAAAAGCTGACTCTAAAACACTAGTACATGTATGTCTCATTATATGAATATCAGTTTCAAATCATAGTCTGCTGATCTGCTGAAGTATGTCCAAATATAACTTCCAAGCCGGTTCTATATTACTTAAAGATTGTGCTTCATACATTTTGGGTTGTATGTCAAATTTTAAAAGAATTTGAAATAATCTTCTAGAATATATTTGCAAGTGGTTTCATATTTCTTCCATTAATAACTTGTGCATACATGTATGTGAGAAGATACATAACGCATAATGGAGGAAAGAACTTGTCAAATACAATTCCTGGCTCTAACAAGTCAAAACATATCCTGTTTAGCATGTAGATTGATTTTCTTCTTTGTTATTTAGGTATTACATCGGTTCGACTGTGCAAACATTGAATGTGTAGATACATATTCAAAAAATGTGTATCCATTTACAAAGCAGTTTACTGTCCAAATGCTAACTTGAGAAGTGTGATTTTTGTCATCAGATATACTATTTTCTAGTCATTTGCTTCCAGACGTAGACATTTCAGCAATGGCTTTTGCCAGAAATATCATCCTCATTAAACTTTTCAATCATGTTTTTTAAAAATTTTCATTGAAACTCAGTAAAATTATATATTCAAGACACCTGGTCAAAAGCTTTATGTAGGCAGATCAGAAAGATACTATGCTCATGTGAAGATCTTCCTGCTGTTAACTATGTCATATGACACCATTGACAGAATAATATATAATCTTAATTTATAACTTTAAAATGTGTTAAGTGGTAACAACGTTATGAAAACAAGTATTTATGAAAATACGTGGAGAAATTTGGTCATAATATCCCCAAATAGAAAACGTGGGTGTAGTATAAACAAGAGAGCTAAACCAGCTTTCACAGTGTTGCGTTTAATATGTCTATACTCCTTTTTGGGACTGCAAAGTTAAATTTTTTGTGTATTAATAACCCTCAGTAATTCCAGCCTCAGCATCAATCTAAATATAAGTATGAACACGAAAGCACTGTAGTCGAGAGCAAACAGCTTTTTTTGTGTGTTTCTAATCCTGAACACCTTTACTAGTTGTAGTATAGACTGAAATAATTTCCACATTTTGGAAATACTTGAGTGTGATGCCTCATCTGTCTGACTGTACTGTGCTATGGAGTAGGAATATGACTTACTCAGCAGTGGGCTGTTATCTGAAGTGAATTTGAGTACTACCTAAGGAAGCTCTTGTTCTAGCAGAGAGGCATAGTCTTGGTGCATATTGGAGAACATTATAAAGGAAAGGAGACTGTAGGATAAACTTAAAAGAAAATTGTATTACTGACTGAAAATTAAAAGGAGAAAAAAAGGGACTTTTTCAACTAAAAGTTAAAGAAAAATTGTGTATGAGATTATACAATTTGGTTTGTTTCATTGCGTAGTAGTAAAGTCCTGAAACCCATGTCCTCAGGTACAGAATAGGAGAGAAATCAACAAAATGCCTGTACAAAATCAGCAAAGAACATTCACATAAATGAGACATAGGTAATAGGAAATTATGAGACTTACATATATGCTTGCTTCTACATATCTAAAAAAATAAAAGAGAAACCGGAATGTGTATTTGAAATGAGATTATTAACATATTAGAAATATCAGAACCTTTATTGACTTGACCATCAGTGGGCACTCATTTCAAATTGTACGGTTACAAGTGACAGTGGTACAGGTCTTGCCAATAGAGGAGTGATGTCCTATATTAAAGACTTAACCTAACCAGATAAATGAGTTTATTGTAACAATAAATAACAGGGTTTCTGTGCCCTGAAAATCAATAACTAAGTGGAAAATCCCATACTATTCAGATTAAATTGTTAGCCACATGATAAAGATGGTTATAGCATCTGTGATGAACTGGGGAAGATCAGAAAGCATACTAATATAAAGAAACTTACATTACATTGCTATAAACTGAGTGACATCTTACTGGGACGAGGGTTCAAACTTGTAAATACCAGAAGCATTTGGATTTATTTAATTTTGAAACTTTTAAAGAACTCAGACGTTGATTTTTGCTTGACTTTATCTTGAAAATGCAGAATATGCTTGGATATGCAGGATTTTCTATTTTTATTTTTAAAGGAACTGTAAAAAACTGCCATCACTTCTTAAAAAAACAACAAAAAAAGAGCTGTTGAAAGATGGAAGTGTCTGATAGTGCTGGAGATATTGCTTAAATTCAAAGATACAAAAGGCTAAGAATGTATATTCCATTAGTTCCAAAAAATCCAAAAGAAAGTTTAAAAACTCCTCACGGTGTACCTGAGCACGGATAAATAGGAAAGTAGGGACCGTTGTAGGTAAAAAGAAGGTGTTCAGAAAGTGGAAGTTGTATCAAAATGAAAAATACTTAGAAAAGTAAAAGTTACAGCAAATTATATGTAAAATGATAAGACAATTCTTTTTTTTTTTTCTGGTCCATAGGGAAAGTTAGATGACCAAAGCTTAATAGGAGCCTTTGAAGAATGTAGTGTCATAACAAAAAAGCTAAATGAATTAATTACATCATTGTTTGCTACAAGATGAGTCAATAGGAATGAGTCAGAGGAAGTGTCTCAATTTGAAATGTCTGTAGAAGAGATATAGAAATCAATATAATTAGTAATTAGTTGCCAGGACCCCAAGTTCCAAAGAAATTTGAATATGAAATTTACCAAATTTTTAATTGAGGTATATAATCTATTTTGTCAAACAAAGGGGTGATGGAAAATGATACAAATTTTAAAAAAAAAAAAAGCTTTACTGATATTTAGAATTATATGTTATCATGCCTGATTTCTTAACCATCAAAATGGAGTAGAAGCTAGAACAATGGAAATAATGTGTTAGAAAACACGTAGATAAACATGTTGGGGACAAAGCTATGCAATATTGCACTGGAAGTCTTCTCCTCTTCTGTTGAATTATTTAAATGATTCTTACTGTGAATAAGAACACATTTCTGAGCCAGTTGATACATGCTGTGTGGATTACCCAAGAACTTTAGGCATTATACTCCTCTGATAGCCTTAAAGGAAATTACGCTATCATACGATAAGAGAATTTATATTTGTTAAAGTTCAGGGATGGAAGGGTATGAATCAAGTGAGCAAGCAGGAATCTCAGGAAGACCTTTATTGTTGATGAGAATGTATTATGGACTTAACTCAGGGGAGAGTTTGTCATCCTCTATTTTAGGAACTAGCTTTGAAAACCTACGTTACTCATTTTATGTAGATTGATACCAGTGACAAATAGGACACAGTAAATAAACGTTTTTTAATACTTGAATACTTCCCTGGCTAAAAAGAATTTACAATTTAAAATGTAAATTTAGTTAATGCAAGTGCCGGAAGCATAAGAGCATTTTTGAACTGGATTAGTTATGGTAACAAGCATGGGATAGATAACATGCATGTACCTCTGTGTGTGCATGTGTATTCAAATAAAGCAAAGCTCAATCTTTTTTGTACAGCTTGCCTTGTGGGTCAGAGTAACAGACATAGGTAGTGCTCTGACATAGCGGCAATGCTAATGATTCAAAAAAGTTGCATAGAAGAATGGGGGCTTGGACTAAAAGAAGGTGCATGTGCAGGAATGGTGGTTAACATGGGGAAAAAAAAAAAGGATTATAAAAAGTAGATTATATAATTTTTCTGAAGTTTGACATGGACACCAAAGCTCTCCGAAGACAGCATTGCTCATTTTAGTTCCTTATGGGCTCTGTGGACAGCCTTTGTTTCAACAAAAGTAATGTACTGTTTATTTCCAAATGAATGAGTCATCTGTGAAGCTGAGCTACACAAGGGGATAGTCTTACAAAGTGGTACATTGTCTGAAATGCTCTTAAAGCACTGTAAAAGAAAAATCACGTATAGATGATAAAACTTGGGGCATATAGTTGTGAGCTGGTTTCTGATTTCTACAAAAATATCAGAACTGGAAAAATGAGTAAATATTATAAAAGGTACAACTTTGAATAGTGCTTTCGCAAAGAACGCCTGCTGTTGCGATGAAAGTATTAACATCATCATCACTTAGTGGAGGTTATTGGAAAAATAACTTTTGAAGGAAAGAGGATAAGGGAATTTTTCTTGTAAGAGATTTATGTTAGGTGGTGTAGAAACTTTGAAAAAGAAGTGTTGATGGAAGCAGAGCTCTAGTCATACGGTTTGCACTTAGTTTCTGATTAGGATAGTCACCAGTTCAGCTTCTATACTTTGAGTTAGGAATATTTTGTTGAATTTATGGTGGGTGTTCCTTTCTGAAATAGAATCTGCCTGCAAAATGGGGACCAGCATTTTCTTACTGAATTGTGGGTTGGTTTGTTTGATTGTTTTGGGGAGGAGGGATAGTGGCCTACAAAAAATACTTGTTCGTTGTTGCTTTAAAAAATAAAATAATTAGACTGGCCAATAAATCTATTTACTTGGATATGCAAGAAGTGAGATACTTTTACGTACTGTTGTATGATTAGTAGGGTATTTTTTCCTCCTGTTAACTGTAGGTTTGAAGGGTAGGAAATTTAAAATATATTTTTAAAGACCTGGAAACAGAAGTGGAAAAATATGTGTATTCTAATATCTAACAGAATACAGTTCAATTCAAAGACTACTGCAATGATTATTGTCAAAATATATTTTGCTGCTTGCTCTTTTTATTTATAATTCTGTGATCTGTCTGATTTCAAAATCTACATGTGAAAACTTTTTACCTTTATTTTCTCTGATACAGAGAAGCAGATTTTTATATTAGGAGGCTCTGTATCCACTTACCCCTGCTCAGCAAGAGTCGCCAAATGACTTTTTAAAATAATGGCCTGAGGGTTGCAGAAGTTCTCTGCTTTGTTCTCTTTCTGAACATAAAAAGCAAAATATAGTAATTGAAACAGATACCAAGAAAGGGAAGACAAGTAAATTGTAAATTACTATTCCAAATTATTAAAATATGAAATGATGTTTTCAAGGCAGATGACCTGACTTTTTGTCGTGGATTGGGCCGCTCCAGCAACCGAACCCCACACAGCCGGTCGCTCACCCTCCCCCACCGCCAGGAATGAGGGAGAGAATTAAAGGATAAACGGGAAACCCGTGGGTTGAGATAAGAACAATTTAATACAGATGATTTAATACAGTGTAGGTGCTCACCACCCCCTCGTATGCGAAGCCCGTCTCGTCCCGAAGCTGCAATCCCGGACGAATGCGAGGCCCCGAAATAGAGAGGGGCAGAGAGAGAGAGAGTACTCCGAGAGTGGGAGTGCTGGGAGAGAGAGGGAAAAAAAAGGCAACAGAGCAAAAGCGCAGCAAGCGCAAAAGAGCAAAAGCGGCGCAAGAGCCAAAGCGCAAAAGCCCTTCTTCCCGGCTGACCCTCACCTTTATACTGGGCATGGTGCTGCATGATATGGAATACTAATTGGCCAGTTTGGCCCTCAATCTTAAGTTCCAACACAAATCACAAGGGGAATCGTGTCCCCCTTGTCCTGGCTATGCTCCCCCCTTATCCCGCCGTGCTTCTGCACTCCAGCACACTGAAAAGTCCTTGGAGTCTCACGTACAACCACGAACATCAGCTTGCTATCAACATTCTTCTCAGAGTGAGCCTCTGAGTAAAACCAAAACACAGAGCTCTTCTAGCTGCTAAAAAAGAAGAGCTAACTCTGTCCCAGCTAAAACCAGGACACTTTTTCACAGAATCAATAAGATTGGAAAGGGACATGTTGAGACAGTCTAATCTCATCCCATGTTCAAAGAAGAGATGCCTAGATCAGGTTGCTCTGGATATAGTCCAGTCAGGTTTTTAATATCTCTAAGCAAGGAGACTCCACAGTTTCTCTGAGCAACCTGTGTTAGTGTTTGACCATTTTTATTGCTTACTTCCCATCTTGCATGTGTTTAAATGGAGTTTCCTGTATTTCAATTCGTGCCCATTGGCTCTTGACCTGTCAGTGGATACTAGTGAGAAGTCTCTGGCTCCATCTTCTTTATCCCCTGCTCATCAAGTATTTATACAGATGGATAAGATTCCCCTGAGCCTTCTCTTCTCCAGGCTAAACAGACCCATATCTGAGTCTCTCCTCATGTGTCAGAGGCTTCAGTCACTTAATAATCTTCATGACCCTTTCTGGACTTTCTCCAGTATGTAAATTTTCATCTGGTTTGTATATATCTTGAAATAATACACACACCCATTATAGTTAAGTATGAGTTGGTTTGCAGACCTTAAATGTTAAATTTCCATTCCTAGTCTTAGATGAGTTTAACGGTTTGGTCTTAAAGGAAACTT